ACCCTGACCAGTGTTTTTTCCCCTCGTATTTGAAGGGTTTAAGTGAAATGTGGGGTCATTAAAAAAAACCTCCACACATCACTTTTGGCCACTGTTGTGTTTGGTGGGATTAGTGCCACAATATTTAAGACCCTGCTTACTGTGTCATCACCGGTGCATTGCTGCATTTTTCCAATTTTCCAGCCAAAAAATGTTACTACTTTAATTTCTGCAGTTAGAGCATTGATTTGTAGAGTGGAAAAAGTTATAAAATTTCTTACTTGGTCAGTTACAAAAAGAATTGACTATCTTGGCGATCAAGTTTGTATCGTTTTATCGACATATAACTCCAATATGTCATATCTTCGTTGGAAAGTGTGTCTCCTCCTTTTGCTGCCATCTTGTTACTCCTAACTAGGTTAGGAGACCTCTCCAGCTCTCTTAAATCATTCAGGAGCTGAGACCTAGTCTTAACACTTAGGAACCTTTATGAATCACACTTATTCTTAAGTCTAGGAATAGGAGTAAAATTATGTCATTCTAAGAATTTTGACACACTTAAGACTACAATTTTACTCTGAGCGGCTTTATACATACGGCCCCAGATCTCTATGTGCAGCACTGGCTGCTGTCAGACTCCGTGAGCAAACAAAAACCTCACTGGATTATTACAATTAATGGCAAAATGAATGTTTGGAAATGTGAACTGATATTTCCTACTGACACACTACAGCAAAAGATAGAAACAACTGACTATTTTTTAAATAAACCATTTTTTTTAGCTGGTGAAAATACTAGTGTTCTAATAATATTGGCCACCAATTTTTTTTTTCAATGTTTTGAAATGGAGTTACAGTTATATTGTTCTGCCTGCGGCTTTACTTTAACAACCCACTAGTGAGGACATTTGACTGGTCCTCACTGGGTAAAAAAGGTTTGTAAATCAGCCCAAAGATGTTTTGATGTGAATCTAGTGTTCTGCAGACGTTTCTGTGATGGGTAAGCTGAGGGGTTGTGTTAGCTGATAGAAAATATCATTAATCTGACAGAAAATCAGTGGAAGTCATGCAATGTAATGTCCTCACTAAGATCAAACCATCTTAAAATAGCCAAAAATATGTGTGTGTGTGTGTGTGTGTGCAAGCGTGAACTATTTTGTGCTTTTGTAGGAGGACTTTTATTTTGAAGACCACCAGACCTGATGTTGTTTTTTTATCACCGACTTCAACGACTAAACGTGTCACGTTAACTACCGCCTCTCGTGCTTTTCTTGTTTGGCGAATGCTTCCGTTCAAGCAAAAACCAGCCGCATTTTAAATAGCGGCGTTAATGCATTGTCGACGAATGGAACAAATATATATTTTTAAAGATGCCCCAAAATGGTTAAAGTCAAGTCGTTCTTCCGGTTCGCTTCCGGTTTCCACGTCTCGCGTTTGGCACGAGCACGTTTACAGCTGCGCTTATTTCTGCTCAAACTCACACACTTTTATAACTTCTCGAGTCTCAGCAAATATCCGCAAGCTCAACTGATCATTTAGTTACTTAGCCAATCAGGTAATACAAGTCTTCTTTTAATTCCAGTCGCTGCTAATATAGTACTATTCCTGCACGCGTTGAGTGTAAAT